TTAACATTTGTTTTTAAAACTTTGGGTTCCAAATTCTCTCCCTTCCTCCTTCCCCATCCACTCTCATTGAGAAGGCAAGCAACTCAATACAGGTTACACATGTGTAAACGTGCAAAACACTTCCATAGTAGTCATGCTGTGAAAAACTAACTTTATTTCCCTTCATCCTATCCCACCCCATTTATTCTATTCTCTCTTTTGACCCTGTCCCTCCTCAGAAGTGTTTGTTTTTGATTACCCCCTCCCCCAATCTGCCCTCCCTTCTATCATCCCCCCCAATCCCCTTCCCCCCTATTTTTCTGTAGGGTAAGATAGATTTCCATATCCAATTAAGTGTGTATGTTATTCTCTCCTTAAGCCAAATCGGATGAGAATAAGATTCACTCATTCCCTCTCACCTTCCCCCACTTTCCCTGCACTGTGAAAGCTTTTTCTTGTCTATTTTATGTGAGATAATTTACCCCATTCTAGCTCTCCCTTTCTCCTCCTCCCAATATAATCCTCTCTCACCTCTTAATTTTAATTTTTAGATATCACTCCTTCATTTTCAACTCACCCTGTGCCCTCTATCTTTCTATCTATATATACATATATTTTTTCCCTCCAACTACCCTAATACTGAGAAAGTTCTCATGATTTACAAATATCATCTTTCCATGTAGGAATGTAAACAGTAAAACTTTAATAAGTCCCTTATGATTTCTCCTTCCTGTTTACCATTTCACATTTCTCTTGAATTTTGTATTTGAAAGTCAAATTTTCTACTCAGCTTTGATCTTTTCATCAAGAATGCTTGAAAGTTCTCTCTTTCACTGAATATCCATTTTTCCCCCTGAAGGATTATACTCAGTTTTGCTGGGTAGGTGATTCTTGGTTGTAATCCTATCTCCTTTGACTTCCAGAATATCATATTCCAAGCCCTCTGATCCCTTAATGTAGAAGTTGTTAAATCTCATATTATCGTAATTGTGTTTCCACCATACATTAACTGTTTCTTTCTGGCTGCTTGCAATATTTTCTCCTTGACCTGGGAACTCTGGAATTTGGCTATAATATTCCTACCTTTCCTTTTGGGATCTCTTTCAGGAGGTGATTGGTAGATTCTTTCAGTTCCTATTTTACCTTCTGGTTCTAGAATATCAGAGCAGTTTTCCTTGATAATTTCTTGAAAGATAATGTCTAGGCCCCCCTTTTTTTCATCAAGGCTTTCAGGTAGTCCAATAATTTTTAAATTATCTCTCCTGGATCTATTTTCCAGGTCAGTTGTTTTTCCAATGAGATCTTTTACATTGCCTTCTATTCCTTGATTTCTCATAGAGTCATTAGCTTCCATTTGCTCCATTCTAATTTTTAAGGAATTACTTTCTTCAGTGAGCTTTTGGACCTCCTTTTCCATTTGGCCAATTCTGCTTTTCAAGGCATTCTTCTCATTGGCTTTTTGGATCTCTTTTGCCATTTGGGTTAGTCTATCTTTTAAAGCATTATTTTCTTCAGTATTTTTGGGGGTCTCCTTTAGCAAGCTGTTGACTTGTTTTTCATGATTTTCTTGCATCACTCTCATTTCTCTTCCTAATTTTTCCTCTACTTCTCTTACTTGCTTTTCAAAATCCTTTTTGAGCTCTTCCATGGCCTGAGACCAATTCATATTCTTGGAGGCTTTGGATTTAGGAGCTTTGACTTTGTTGTCTTTTTCTGGTTGTACTTTGTCACCAAAATAAGATTCTATAGTTTGAGGTTTTTCCCACTGTTTGCTCATGTTCCCAGTCAATTATTTGACTTTTTAACTCTTTGTTAAGGTAGGGCTCTGTTTCCAGTGTGGAAAGTTTTGTGCAGCTGTTTTCAGAGATATTTCTAAGGACCTGTAAATTTTCAGTTCTTCCAAGGTGGTATGATCAGAGGCGAGGTATTTACTCCTTTCCTGGCCTGTGCTCTGGTCTATGAGTGACCACAAGCACTCTTTTTTGCCTTGGAACTATGAGGATTCTCTCTCCACCACCATCACAAGCTCTGCCACATCAGCACTCCTCCTCACTCCAGGACAGCCACCCAGGACTACAACCCAGATCCAACTATGGGCAAAACAAGAGAATCCTGCCTCAGTGCCAGCAAAAAGATCCCTGCAATCCCCTTCTGATCAGCTGCTTGATCCCCCCTCCATCTGTGGCTCTGGAAGCAGCCACTGCCACTCTGGGGCTGCACCAGGGCTGGGGCCAGACCATGCTCCTCTCTCACCATGGTCCAACAGACCTTTCCTACTGACCTAAGTTGTCTTTGGCATTTATGAGTTGAGAAGTCTGCAAACTGCCACAGGTGCCAGTGATTCAGTCCTCTGAGGCTTGCTCCAGATTAGCTGGGGCCCCATCTTTGCCTGCACAACCAATGCTGAACTGCACTCCTCTCCCAGTCCAATGCAACAAACTTTTCCCATCAACTATCCAGGTCATCTTGAGCCGGAAATTTGTTTCACTCTGTCTTTTTGTGGGTTCTGCTGCTCTAGAATTTATTTAGAGACATTTTTACAGGTATTTGGAGGGGTTTGGGGGAGAGTTCAACCAAGTCAATGCTTTTACTCCACCATCTTGGCTCTGCCCCTATTCTCTGTATTTCTATATTTTTTGTTAGCCATAGTCCTATTTGGTAGTCTTTAAACTGGGAAAAAGCTTGATCTGGCATCATATCTTGTATCTTTTCCCTTGTCTCTATTCACATAGACAACACCCTAGCTCAGGCTCTCAACAACTCTAACATGGATTAGTGCAAAAGCCTCCTTCCAAATTGGTTTACCTTGTATTTTCCCTCAGTAATTCGTTCTTTACTCAGCTACCAAACTGATAATCCTAAAGCACAGGCCTGATCATGTCACTCATCTCTTCTGAGAAACTCCAGTAGCTCTCTCTTGCCTTTAGTTTAAATTACACATTCCTCTATTTGGCATTTAAAGCCCTTCACAGTTTGACTCTGGCCTGCCTCTCCAGGCTTACTACACATTACTCTCCTTCGCATATTCTTTTGTACTCTGCATTCCAGTCAAACTAGCCAAACTGGCCAAACTGACAGCTATCTGGTAAAGTGGATAGAGAGCTCAACTTTAGGCCAGGAAGACCTGAGTTCAAATTTGGTCTCATTTACCAGTCACTCATTTACTTGGTCACTAAATCTCTGCTTGTCTCAATTTCCTCATTTGCAAAATGGGGATTATAACAACTCCTACCGACTAGGGTTGTTGTGGGTATAAAACTAGAAATTTGTAAAGCATTTGCAAACCTCAAGGCATTACTCCATGCTAGCTATCATTATTACTATTATCATTACTATTTTCAGTTATCCCCTCTGTTTCTTTGCATAAGCTATTCCACATACTTAGAAAAGCATTACCTCCTTACCTCTGCCTTAGAATCTCTTTGTTGTTACTCAGTTGTATCTGACTCTTTATAACCTCATTTGGGGTTTTCTTGGCAAAGACACTGCAGTGGTTTGCCATTTCCTTCTCCATCTCATTTTACAGATTGAGGAACTAAGGCAAACAGGGTTAAGCGATTTGCCCAAGGTGACACAGCTACTAAGTGTCTGAGGCCAAATTTGAACTCAGGAAGATGAATCTTTCTGACTTCAGGCCCTCAATTCCATCCACTAGCCACCTAGCTTTCTTCGAAGTTTAACTCAATCCTACAGGAAGCCGAAATTATTTTGTATATATTTCACATTAATAAGAAGGAACTTATGTAGCACATGGAAGGCCAGCTTTGAAGCCAAGCAGACCTGGGTTCAAGATGTGCCTCTGATACATTGGCTGCATAACCCTGAGCATAACACTAAATCTCTCAGGGCTCTAAGTATATATATGTATATATATACACATATGTGTATATATATATGTATATATATACACATATGTATATATATGTATACATATATATATTTACACGTATGTAATATATATACAACCTGAAGCTGCAGAGTTTCCTCACCTGGGAGTTACCTATTTCAAGGTAACTTTAATGTTCAAACTCAAATTTGCATTAAAATTTCCACATAATTGTTCCCCAACTAATCACCGAGTTCAAGAGCTATTTCGTTTTAGCGCAGCATACCCTGACCTAGGCACCCACGAGGCACTTAATACTGGTTGAATTGAAGCAGAGAAGCAGTAACCTCTCTCACTAAACTACTTTCACCTAAAACCCTGACTTTCTGCCAGACTCAGCAGGGGAAGTGGTGAGCTCAGACTCTCGGATGAAGCCTATAAAGAAAGTAACTTTCTCCACCGGAGAGCCCTCCAGAGCTGTCCCACTTTCACTTGCACTAGTGTTCACGCCACACTGGGAGGGCTGCACCTCGCTTCAATTGGCTCAAGACTCTACCGAGGCTGCAGCCTTTTACCTTTGCCTTTCCTGTGTGTGCATTCATTTTTAACTCGTTGTACCTTTAAAAAAAAAAAAGCATTTCCCAAACCAATCCCTGCCCCAATCCATAGGATTTGCAGAGTTCTGGGCAACGCCTCAACCTTCCAAGGACCCAAACATTTCCCTCCACCCTCGGGCGGTTGGGCGAATGTTTCTCCTCGGTTTCTCTCACACTTAAGAACCGCCTTACAAAATGGCGGTAAAAGCGCATTGCGCATGCGGAATCTGAAGGCGCGCCCCCTCCCGTCGTCCCCGCCCCCGCCATTCCTTTTAACCATAGAGATGTCCGCCTAGCAGGAGAGATAATCTCCAGTAGAAAGACGCTGCGACGCACGTGTCGTAGACCACCCCTCCCGTCCCACCATTCAACGATCTCCTTGCAAGGAGGGGGAGGCGAGGTCGACTAAAGTGTGGCAGCTGTTTCCGGCGGAGGAGGCGGGGGATGTTTGTGAAAGGGCCCTTCTAGGAGAGCGGATCTGTCTTAATGGTTCCTATGGTTGTCCCTCTGGATCACGTGGCTAGGGACGGTCTTCCGGGAGGCGGAGGGGAGGAGAAAGGGGCGGGAGGGGGAGGCGGGGGAAACACTCTCGACCAAGATTACGACAACGACGATGACGGGGGTTGTCATGGTGCCTTGGGGTCTGGTTCGCGCATGCGCCATATGACAGCCTGTGTTTGGTCCTGGAGTAGCGACCCCTGCCCCAGGTGAGAGGGAGCGGAGAAGGCCCCGCGGGCTGGAAGGGAAAGGGGCCGAGTAGGGGAAAGTTGGGGAAAGCGGCCGGACCCCGGGCGAGGAGAATGATAAGAGGCCCCCGGAGGAATCGAGGAGGGTGGGTGGGGGGCAAGAAAGAAAGATTCAGAGACCTGGGATTTGGGATCGAATCCCGACCTGTGTGACCTTGGGCAAGTCACTTAACTTCTCCGGACCTCAGTGCACCTGTAGAATGAAGGCGTTTGTGTGAAAGATCGATAAGCTGTCTTTCAGCTTTCCATCCTGTAAAAAGTTAAGGAAGCAGGAAAGGGTAAGGTGTAGTAGGGGAGAGAGGGAAAGGCCAAGGAGAAGCAGAAGTGGAGGAGGAGGAGTTGAGGTTGAGGGGAAGGTGGGAGGAGAGGTGTGGGTCATAATAAACTGACATTTATATAGCGCTTTACATACATGATTTTATTTGCTTTTTACAACAACCCTGTGAGGTAGTCACTCCCTACACACGAGGAAAGGCATGTGAGGTTGGCATTATCATCCACACAAGGAAAATGAGGCTGAGAGAGGATAAGGGACTTTTTGCTTAACCCTAGTCCATGCTCCAAATCCTGTGCTTTTCCTACCACGGTAGGATGCCGGGAGAGAGAAGGGAGGTAAAGAGCAGATGGGGAAGTGAAGAGAAGTTGGGGAGGGTGAGGTGTTGAGATAATGACAGAAAAGAAGAAGAGAGGATGGGGAGAGTGAGGTGGAGGGTAAATGAGGGGAAGGAAGAGAGGAGAATGGGAGAGAGTGAAGAGAGCTGAGATGAAGGGAGAATGAAGGAATGGAAAGGGGCAGGATGGAGGAGAATGAGCTGAAGAGGGGTGGGGTGGATGGGGCAGAAGTGAAAGGAAGGAAGAGTAGAATTAGGGGAGGGTAGGTGAAGTGGAAAGTCTGGTAAGAGGGGAAAAGGAAAGGAGAAAGGAACAAATGAAGGGGAAATATATGCAGCAGGCTTGGAAGATAGTGGGGAAGGATAAGTGTGTGTGTGTGGGGGGGGGGGGTACCTTGACAAATCCAGCAGAGGAACAAGGCTACCCCTGGCAAGAGAGTACTTAAAAGGCTTCAGGTGGATAGGCTGGTGGTGGCAGTGATAGGGCAGAAGTGAATGAACAGGAGAGAGATTGAAATAAGGATACTGGATCTTTTGGTTGAGAGTAAATCCAACAATCCTGTTTGGTGCTTGGGGTGCAGGTTTGAGAAATCCTACTTCTTGTTGTTCAAGACACCCTTGCAGTACGTGTTGTTTGGGTGTTTGCCCTGGGCTGGTAGCTTGCCAGTCACAGTACAGTACCCAGGGTTTGGCCCTGTTCTGCCCTGCTGAGCTAACAGGCTGGTAGATGCTGATTTGCACAGATGTAATGTGGGCTGATGGGAATGGGTAGGTGGTCATTGTTGCTGAAATGCTACTTGTAGCAGATGGGGAATTGAGGCAAAGTTCTGTCATCCATCGTCTTCTCTGAAGAAGGCAGTAAAGTGAACTGATGAACTATACCAAACCTAGGAAATTGTGTGGGGTAAATTGTATCATCCCAAAGGTGGCATGGGGATTGGTCTGGGAGTGACATTGCAGAGCAGTGGCAATGGATATGAAAGGGAATATAAGTGTTAGAAATTTAGGCACTTTCTCTTCTCTGTTAGAATACACTAATGTTGATCTATAATCATGCCTTAGGAAATTCAAGATAGAGAATAAACTTAGAATACATTGTTACTTTACTGTTCTAGCTGTATTTATTCTATGCTTTTATTTGTAAAGAGTTATATTTCATCCTATGTATTCTGTCATGCCCAGTTCTTAACCTCCCAGTTCTGTAAAGATACTACTTTATAAAAATAATTCAACTCTTGAGGAAAGACTTCAGGCAAAGTTTAGCAAGCTGAAAATAGTACAGACCCAGTCTACTTATACTTGGTTTTCTTTCTTTCTTAATTGGCCCAGGTTCATAGGGGATCACTTCTTTATCTGATTAGGGCTTTGAAGACACAGATAAACATTTTTGGATTAGTATAAATTCTACTGCACATCCTCTTTATTTGCGTGGTTAGTTTGCCTCACCCAGCATGTGTATATCATGGTGAGCTAATGAACCTGAGTAAGAAAGACCTGGCTTCAAATCCTGCTTCAGATACTAGTAGAGCAAGTCACTTAATCTCTACACCTCAGATTCCTAATCTATAAAATGACTCAATGGCCTCTAAAATCACTTTCAGCTCTCAGTTTATGATCCTGTTACTAACACCCTGATTCTCACCTCACCAAGTGAGTTACTTTCTAGTTCAAGGATGGGGAACCTTTGGTCCCAAGCCCACATGTGACCTTCAGTCAAAGCGCTGCACTTGAGGACCTAGAGAGGGACATGTGGCCTCGAGGCTGCAGGTTCCCCACCCCTGTTCTAATTTCTGTTTTGGAAGAGAGAGGGCAGATCATATCTTTGGGGCCTAAAGTTGACTAAATCTGGGAATAATCTCATTTGTCCTTTACTTGGATATGCAGAACCTTTGCTTATGAAATATCGAGGACCTTTGCATTACTGATAAGCCACCAGAGATGTTATAAATAGCTTCAGGAGGACAATGGACTGGGAATAGATTTTTATCACTTCGTTGATAAAACAGTAGTTAATAGTTATGACATAGTTTAGAAATTGCAATATGTGATTCTTGTTAATGGATTTGAATGGATGTGTACATTGTTTGTTAATAGAAAAAAACCGTAATACAAATTATTTGCTGTTGTTTTACCCTTTTGTGTGATCTTTGTACTCTAGGGACCCTCAAGAACTGTTACATTTATATCAAGAAAAATTAGTGCCAGTTGTGACAACTTGTTTTGGTTAAGTTCAGATTCTAATGAAGTCCTAGAGAAATAGCCCTAACACCTTTCACAGTAGGACTTTAGATATCTACAAAGTAATTTTAGCCACTGTCAGCCTGTTCCAGAAATGAACAGATGACTTAGAGGCAAAGAGTTGAGCAATGAATTCTCAATCTCCAGTTTGCCAATAGCCATTTAAATTTGCACTTAACTTAGAAGGGAGAAAAGCAACGCAACTACTTTAGGTTTTGATATTTTGCCATTTTGTGTAGCTCTCAGTCTGAGATCATTGATAAATAAATGCCATCAGTCTAACTGCTGTCTCTCCTGTTGAGTGCCTCATATGATTCTATTTATTAGTGAAGTCTTTTGTTCAGTGATTAATTTTTCTCATCATCACCACTCATTGAAAAGAATGTGTCTCATTTCCACAGAGAGAAAAAAATTAAAGGTATAATGTAACCCTTTAGTCTTGTCTCACTTGAACCTTGTTGGGACATTAAAGATTTCTGTTCTCTGGAAAAAAAGAACCCTTTACATTAGAGGTTTACATATAAAAATTCCTCTGTTTACCATGCTAAAATATATTTTGTATTTTTTTTAAAATTTCTGATTAGCACAGATATTCTAGGGCAGCTAGGTGGTGCAGTGGATAGAACATTGGGCTTGGAATCAGGAAGACCCATCTTTCTGAGTTCAAATCCAGTGCCAGACACTTACTAGCTGTATGACTCTGGGTAAGTCACTTGACCCTGTTTGCCTTAGTTTCCTCATCTGTAAAAAGAACTGGAAAAGGAAATGGCAAACCACTTTAGTATTTTTTGCCATGAAAACTCGAAATGGGGTCACAAAGCATCAAAAACAACTGAAATTATTGAACAATCACACAACAACAACAAAAAACCACAAATGTTCTAGTGTCAGTAGATATTGTATAAACATGGAGGTATAGTGGAAAGAACGATAGCTCTAGAGACAGAGAACATGGGTTCAAAAATCTCACTTGAAGAGGCATCTTGGTAAAGTGGATTTAGTGCTAGGCTTGGAGTCAGGAATACCCAGGATCAGTCCTGACTCAGACATTATTTATTAGATGAGTGACCCTGGGCAAGTCATTTAATGCTTCTTTGCTTTATTTTTCTCATCTGCAATTATTAGAATAGCTAGCATTTATGTAGTACTTTATGGTTTGCAAAACGCTTTATAAGTATTAACCGAATCGATTCCCACAACAACTCTGAGCAGTAACTGCTATCGTCCCCATTTTACAGATGAGAAAACTGTGGCCCCAAGAATTAAGTGACTTGCCTAGGGTCATACAACCAGTAAGTATCTGGGGCAGAATTTGAACTTGGCTCTTCCTGATTCTCAAGCTCTGCATTCTATCCACTGTGCTACCTAGTAGCCATTCTGTAAAATGAATGGCTTTGAAAGTCCATTCCAGCTCCAAATCTAGGATCTTATGATCTGGAAATCTATCTATGATCCTTTTACATCTCTCCAATTCTGCTGTCAGCTTTGCTCTGCCCATTTTGTTTGTGGCAGAATAAAATCCAATTTATTAGTCTGTAGCTCTGCTGACTGTACAATAGTAACTGATTTTTAAAAATCCTTTATTAAAAGAGCTATGTTAATTTTGTTCACTCAGATAGTACATGGCTAGTAAGATAGCAAACTTCGTGTTGACATTATTTACAAAATAGAAGTGAGGAACTCTAATTTCAGTTCTTCATTTTCATCTTTGTGTTAGTCTGAATGACCATCCCTTAGCTACATCTACTTCCATTTTGAAGAGGCCTGCAATTAATTTCTTAACAACAACAACATTCTTTACAAGAAAATTAAAATATGTACGTTTGTTGCATTTCACACAAAAAGACCCTGATTTAATTAGAGATACAATTATACATTTTAGTCCATTGTTTTATCTGGGTTATCCAGGCCGTCAAGCTTCATATCTAGTACGGAGACATTACATTGTGCACGGTTTTGGTGTAAGAAATGACATTTCCATTTTCTCTCTTTTATGCATATAGAAATAAATGAGTAACCTGTCTAGGGGTTCTTGGTGGTTAGAAATTAATTTATAGGTAAAGAATATGTTTATTTTATTTATGTATTTAATGTTTAATTTATTTTAAAATATATTTATATATATTTATATTTAAAAATTAACCACTGAACAAAATAAAAATAAATTTATAGGTAATATCCTTAAATCAATTGAGTGTTTCACTATACTATACTTGTATATATTCTCTATGCCACACTTATATACTAGCTATACTTGTATTCTAATGTGGAATTTGTTCTCATTCAGACTGGCTGAGCTCCCTGATGTCCTCCACTACAGTCAGTAAGGAGTTGGGCAAGCTTTAAACATCCTTAATTTCAATTTAATTTTAGCTTGGGTCCTCCCTCTGCCTATTTATTAGTTGCTCGGGTTTGCCAGAAGTTCTTGGCATTGCTGCTGTAGTATCTGTGCATTTGCACTGGCCTTCTCCCTTGCCTGGAGTGCTCTCAGGCTTTTTGTCATCTGCCTCATAGAATACATTATTTCTCTCAAGATTCAGCTCAAGCACTCCCTTCTCCATGAAGCTTTTTGCAATCCTCCAGTTACTAGTGACTGATTCTCCCAACTACTAGACTCAGTTTTGAAACAGACCTGATAATTTACGATATGTTACAATGAATTGATTATTGGCCTAGTAAAAAAAAAATAAGTTTTCATTTGTTAGTTTGGGGAGGCTTATTTTTTCAACAGTAGTTTTATCCTATAGATAATTGGGTAATGTCCGGACATTTAAGAAGACAAGAAAACAAAAGTGTTGAACCTAACAATGAAACAAACATCCATAAATCTCATAGAATAAAGTCATAAATTGATTATGCATTTAAAATATCCCAAGGACTTGGAGTACTCAGACTCAGGCTTATTTATTATTTTTTTTCCCTTAAGCATTGCTCCAGCTAAGCGCTTTAGGTTTTGTTTTTGTTTTTTTGTGCTTCTCAGTGCCAACCTTGTAGTACCCATTTAGTGTTTTCTTTGCTGTTCCTAAAAGGACCTTTTTGAAAGAACTAAATCTGAGGTAGTCTCAGCTTTCACTGGTCTGTCAATTGTGTGATTAGCTTTGTGACCCATTTCAGCATTTAACAATTTGGCTTCTGTTCTAGGCTTTGCCACTGACTAGCTGTGTGACATCCCTTAACTTTTCTGAGGTCCAGTTTTTTTATCTGCAAAACAACTAATAATCCATACCTTGCCTACTCTTTAGGGTTGTCATGAAATGATTGTGTGAAAGCACTTTGTAAACCACAAAGTTCTATGCAAATAAAGATGTTACTATCAATTTCCTGTTCATCGACTTACCCTGATCACCCCAAAGCTTTCATCTTCTGTGAGAGTCCACAAAACCTTTCTTAGGACTTATTAAGCAAGCATTCTGCTCTGCACCCCACCCTCTCCTCCCACCTAGCACTTTCTCTTTGAGTGGCTTTCTGGAAACTTTTATGCCCCAGGCTTGTAAGGGCTCCCTGCCTGTGACACCCATCAGACACATCTGAGCAATAATCCACGTGCCCAGCCCTTGAGTAAAACATCTTGAAAACTAGGAGTGATGGAGAGTTAGTGAAGCAACTAAATATGTCAAGTCTAGGAGCAATTTTTCCACTAGGGCTAGGCTATTCCTCATTGTCTCTTTCCTCTCTCTTCCTCTTTCTGCCCAAAACCCCCAAACCTGAGTCCAGCAACCACACACTTCTTTACTTCCACCCTCCCATTCTAGGACTTAGGTCTTCTGTGTACAAGTTAGAACTGTTCCATAAAAAACTCCTATTTCTTTATGGCTTACTGACCTATTTGAATCTTTTGTGGAAACTACCTTTAAGTCTAAAAACTGCCAGAAGTGACTGTAACACCTTTACCTTTGGGGTAGTGTGCAAGTAGTTTAGACACAGTACTGAGACGGTTGTAGTATTAAGGGAAAAGTCTGGACATTATGGGAGGTCTTCTAGGCTAGGCTTTGAGACCTTAATTTTTGCAGTGTCAAGTAAGTCCTGGTCCAAAAACATCCATTTCATTTCAGAAATAGAAGTAACTTGATACATTATTATCTATTCTAAAAAGTCTAGTAAAATGTTTCTTTGTTAAAGCCTTCTACTGCTTATGCTTCAATTTGGAAGTGAATCTAAAAGTCTATGTATTTGGAAGTTGGAGGGAAATTAGTCTACCAAATACATTGTTTTTGTTCACTGAGGCCTGCAAGAAGACATACCAGAAGCCGGAGGGGGTTAGTCTCTGTGTATGAGTGATTTGCTCTTCACCATTGAAGTGGCTTTTTTCAGTTCCTAAGGATTAATGACTTCTTATTTAATTGTTATCATAGGGTTATCCAGATGGAAAGGGTGTTGATGAATCTGCTTCCCGCACAGTGAGAGTATGGAGAGAAAAGACCCACCCAGAAGCAGCCCGAGAAGGCTATTGGCTAAACTTGGCAAAGTAATTGAGAGAAAACAAATGGCTCATCACTTCAGCATGGCAGCTGCTGAGTCAGATAAGGACTCTGGATTTTCAGGTTAAAAATACTTTTTGTTATCTTTTATCCATTATAAGGGGCAGCTAGGTGGCACAGTGCATAGAGTGCCAGACCTGGAGTCAGGAAGATTCATCTTCCTGAGTTGAAATCTGTCCTCAGACATTTACTAGCTGTATGACCCTGGACAAGTCACTTAACCATATTTGCCTCAGTTTCCTCATCTGTAAAATGAGCTGGGGAAGGAAATGGCAAACCACTCCAGTATCTGTACTAAGAAAACCCCAGATGGGGTCACAAAGATTTGGACACAACTGAAAACGACTGAACAACCAACCACCCATTATAACCATAACAGTTTGTTTTCAAAATCTCCTCCACTCATCACTTACTTGTCTGACTAGGATGAGGCACTTTTATACACAGGATAAATATCTAAACTCTAAAATAGTTATTCTGATATCACACAGTAATGTTACATTCAGAGCAGCTGCTAACAGTGTCAGCAGGATGGGACATCTAGTTACAGCCTGATCTCCAAGCTTTAAACCAAATGCTTTCCACTGTTGCAGGGAAAAATATTTCAGTGCTCATGCTTCTGTTGTTTCAGCTGTTTTCTCCACACAAATAGTTTGTCAGACTGCAGGAAAAAACACTTTGTGCATTGTTAATCGTTAACAGTTAAGGAATCAGCTCAGTAGGATTACTGTGTGATGCGTTAAAATAACTTGTTTGCCAGAAATTAACTTTTAGAACAGTCAACACATTGTTCTTAATCTTTGTTTTCCTTCATCTTCATAGTCCTTGGGGTATTCTATGGGGATTTTGGTGATAGACATGTAAATAAAAAGATTAATACAGTATGTTTTTTTAAAATTTCACAGAAGAAAACAAAGCATAGAAGGGGACACAAATATATAGAATAGTTTTTGTTACTACCTTGTTAAATTTTATTTGTATATAAGTATATATATATATGTATATGCATGTATATGTCATATATGTTTATATATTTAAAACAATAGAATTTCAGAGTTTCTTATATGAGAATTTCATGTGACAAATTCTTGTTCTTTTTTTATATTGAAAAGTTTGTTTTTGTTGCCAATTGTTAATAATAAAAAATTATTTTAAAGGTCAACATTTTAACAAAGCTTGTGATGCTGCTGTACAACTCCAATTAAAATGACTAGGGATAATTTTCATTTTATCTTCAATTTTTGTGCATTTTATGTTAGGAATATAGACTCTCTTATTAGGGTCTTAGATTGGACAGACACAAAGGGCATGTTTTTAAACCTAAGCTAAAAGGGCTAATTTCATATATAGGAAATCCCCTGTTGAGACTTTCATTGAGTTTGTGTTCCTTCTGATGAGAGGGATTTAAATATGAATCCCTGTCCAGAAGGATCTGGTTGGAATTCCACAACTCATTTCAGTCATTGACTGCCAATTGGCCATCAAGTAGTATTCATTTTATTATGAGTCCCTCATCCACAAAACCCAGTGACCATCGAATAAGACACAATAAGCTAGCATTCTAAGGTAGAAGGCAAGTTGTCCAGTGGCCGCAGACTCAATTAACTACTTTTCTGACTTTTCCTGGTATCAGATGGAAGCTCAGAGTGCTTAAGCTGTGCAGAGCAAATGGACTCAGAGGATATGCTGAACACCCTAGGCTGGCATGGAGAAGAGGGGCCCCGACAGAACTCCACAGTAGCAAATAATTCTTTTCCAGCCTTGTCTTCCATGGTTGTCATGAAGAACGTGTTGGTCAGACAGGTAAGGATCATGGAAGAAAAATGTCTCTGAAAGTCTGTGTGTTAAAAGTCTGTACTTTCTGTCTTTAAAAGATGCTTTATTCTTCTGATTTTGCCACTACACTCTGCTAGGGTCTTTTTTCTTATCTTCTATCATCTGGATAAAGGAAAAGTTTTAGGAGCACACCAGAGGAGAATAGACTAGCACTGAAATTCTCTATTAGGGTGAAAATGTTAATCTTCCATTCACTGACATGGCTAAAAATGATAATTATGAGAACTTTAGCATATAAGTCCTGTGAACACATTTGGCAGTCCTTTAACTATATACAAAGGAATCTGTCCTGCAATGTAGCTCTTCCAGATAAGCAATCTTTTAGCTGTTTAACATTCTTAGAAAGCAGTTTAGGAGAGAAAACTAAGAAAAATCTTCAGTTGATTTGAAACTATGGAGGAAACTTAGGGAAATAGAATATAATAATTTGTTGTTTCAGAATGAGAAGTATCTTTTGTGTTTATTGATGTTACATCCTAAGCCTTTTTTATTTTAGAGTGTTGCCTTACCAGTTACTAGGTCAATTCAGTATTTCCTGGTATGGTTAATATGAAAAGGTGATGTATAAAGTCAATCTGGTTAGATTTAGGTATCTATTTGTCTGTCAAGGGTTAGAAGGCAAGAAGAACATTAAAAAGGTGAGACAGGAGAAGTGGTTGAGAAGATTTTGATAACCCTAGAGTTTCATCTTTAGAATTTGGAAATTTGTATGAGCAGTTTAAACAGTCACTCACTGCTTAGACACAAAGGGAAGGGAAGATTGTGCCTGCTGGGATGCTCCAAAGGTGTGGGGACAAGAGCACCCACTCACATTTATTTGACAGATGAACTCTTTTGTTTATATGTAGTCTTGACCAGATTTGACAGTTAGCAGTTATGGTGCAAAGAAATATGTAAATTTGTCCTTTAATTATGGCATAATTATACACATCACATAATAATCAAGTAACCATGAAGGAAAAGATGACCTAAGTTTACAATCTAAGCATAGCTGTAGAGCTATGAACCTATTTGTGAATAGCAAAAGCTGAGGAATGGCAAATGTTTAAGCCCAGAAATCATTTAAGAAAGGGACTTTTTAACTTTACTTGACTCTACTGTCAGAAAAGTGTGGTTCTTTTAGTGGTGAAGGCCAAGCTTGGTTGAGGAGGGTGTCTTCGAAGATAAAAATGCTTTGAATAGCTTTGACTTTTTTATACCTTAGTTACATGGTTAAAAGAACATGGCTCCAATTTCACAAGAAACATTAGCATTATAACTACTGCCTGGTTCTTCCCAGGAGAACATATTGATTTCTAACAGGGAAGCCTAGTGGCATTCTAGTGAGTTATGAAAAGGGATATTGTTCAGGAGATTACCTCTCAGCTGCTGGTGCAGTCCTCAGTGAGAAAATGAAAAGCAAGATCAAAGGTAGTAAATAAAACCTAATTTAAATGTCCTTGAATCACCAGTACTATCCCTTTGCTGGCTTTTATTCATTTGTGTTTCTTTTTCTCCCTACCTTTTCTCTGGGCCTCTTGCTTCTCTTTCCTGTGTGTGTGCTTATAGCTTCTCTTTGTTGTAGGCCATGTTGATAGCTATAGAAAATTGATGATGATCCAAGGTTGTGTTCTGAATGTGCTTTTCCAGCAGTGCAATATTCTTCATGAGCGTGATTGGCTAGAAAGGCTTTTGTGGTTTATTGGGATATCAAACGCTAAGGAATGACATGAACTGAGAATTAATTTTAAGTAGCTCACATTGCTAAGTGAGTTTTTTTTGGGGGGGTACCTTTTTTGTTATTGTTTATGTGATAGGCAGTGAAGCGTATTGTTTCAGTTTTATAATAATCTTATTTTTGAGTGTTATTGGATATGTGCTGTCCTCTGCTGCACTGTTTAATGTATTTTTATTTTGCTCTTTTGTTCTAGTTCTATTCACTGGTTAGCTGTTACCTTGACAAAATCATTTCAGTAGGCCTTGTTTTCCTCATCTGTAAAAATGAGAGAGTTTGGTTACATAATATCCAAGTTCTTGTCTAGTTGACAAATTATGTGATACTTGGGCTCTGAAATGATTTTGCATATCTAATAACTAAGCCAGATGTCCTTTAGGACAATGGACATAGTATATTATGCTAAAGCATACCAGTGAAACATTCTTGTAAAAAGATGTTGGTTTGGGGGGAGGGGCATTCTAAAGCCATAGGATTGGAATACAGTGAAGCAATCAGCTATTTAGCTTATAAATCTCCCCTTATTTCTGACTCACCCTTATGATATGGGTCTGAACTAGGAACAGGCTGAAGTTGTACTTTATTCTGGGCCAGACTAGTCATTTCACTCCTCTCATTCATTCCTAGTCTAAAATTTCCCTGGAGATTCAAATTTACTCTTGTTTGGTTATGAGACATCTATCCTGTGTGTCTGTCTTATATAACAGGCACAAATCTTAGAATTAAATGTTTTTCTGTGGTTATATTTTGTAGTAGGGTGACCTCGAGTTGACTTAGACCTTTATAAGATCTCTTTAGGGATCCCCCTCAAAACTGGGCTGGACCAGCCCTCAGGAGTTAGGGTACAGTACTATCTGAATCAATGCTTTAAAGACCTATATATGAGAGATAAGTTACCAAATACTTTATGTCTCTCAAGTTTCATTGTCTTAAAACTAGAAAGCAATCATCTGCTGCAAGCTTCACCCAACTTGAGAGTAAAATTTATGAAAGTTTGAGGAAATGGGTTCTGTTTGTAAATGAAAGTAGACTTTACAACAAACTTAAATGCAACAGATATTGAAGTTCTTACTATACACAAAATACTGTTTTGTAACTATAGAGACAAAAATTAAACAATCCCTGCCTTACAGAGGTTTACATTCTCTTTGGGGTGGGAGGCAGATATAACGTGTTGACAGGGAAGCAGGCTACAAGGTAGGGAGTGAAGGAAGCAAATGAGGGAATACTCATGCTTGGATGGATCAGGCTCAACAGAGGAGATAGCACTCAGTATTATGACCATTGCTCTGATGACTCTCTGACTTTGTTTTTAGGTCAACAGAATCATGTTAGCCATACAAGCTAATGCTTAAAGGGAGATAAAGATTCCAAAAGGCAGCTGAGGAGGGAGTGTGTTCTGGGGAGAAGGTTTGCGTAAATGCATGGAGGCACGAGATGGCATTGAGTTCAGAGTCCAATTTGGCTGGAACATAGAGTGTGTAAAGGAGAGTGACACGAATAATAGTAGTAGGAAAGATAGGAAGGAAGGGAGGAAATAAGTATTTGTTAAGTGCCTGCTGTGGTCCAGACACTGTGTTAAGTGCTTCATGTATGTTATCTCATTTGATCCTCACAACAACCTGGAGAGATAGGTGCAATTATTGTCCCCATTTTACAGTTAAGAAAACTGAGGCAGGCAGAGGTTAAGTGACTTGCCCGGAGTCACCCAGGCAGTAAGTATCTAAGGCCAGTTTTGAACTCAAGTCTTCCTGACTCCAGGCCCAGCGCTCTGCCCACTGTGCCACTTAGATGCCTGCCAGACAGATAAGTTGCAACCAGGTTGTAGAGGACATTAAATGCCAGACTAAGGAGTTTATATTTTATCCTCGAGATAGTAGAGAGCTCCTGAAGGTTTTTTTTTAAGCAGAGAAGTGACATGACCATACCTAGAAGATTATTTTGGCAGCTGTATAAAAGATGGATTATAAAGGGGGAGGGGGAGACTCATATCACGGATGCTGATTAGGTGGCTATTACAGTAATCCACTTGAAAGATAATGAAGGTCTGAACTATGGTGGTGGAAGCCTAAATGCAGAGAAGGGTATAGACTGCAGAAATTTTGTGGAGATAGAATGGATGGAACTTGCCAGATGACTAGCTATGGGGTGCCAGTGAAGGAAGACGCTGAGTTTACAAAACTGAGTGACTTAGGAGCATGGTGGTTCTCTAAATAGGAAATTTGAGGAGCGAGATGGATTTAGGAAGGATGGTCATGTTCAGTTTTTAATTTGTGAAGCTTGAGTTGCAGGCACAATATTCAGGTGACAATGTTGCATGTAGTCTGTGATATACAACTGGAATTTGAGAGAGATTAAAGCTAGATTCATAGACTTAGAAATATGTGTCTAGAGGTGATAGTTTGAACCCATGGAAATGGATGGGACAAGCAAGCAAGGGAATTTGGCAGAGGGACAAAGGCCAGCCAGAGTTTTGGGGGAACATTACACTCATACTTAAGGAGTTGAGAGGGCTGATGATCCAGGAAAGGGAAACTCATTATCACACATGCTAAGGAAGGAGTCAGAAAACCTGACGTCTATCCTGGCTCTACCACTTACTATCTGTGTAACCTTGGGCAAGTCACTTGACCTTTCTTGGACTCAGTCTCCTCGACTATAAACCGAGGAGGTCGTGCTAGATGACCTCAAAGGTCCCTTCCAGCTCTTAAGGCTGTGACCATGTGATCTGAGGGGAGAGTATGTTGGAGAAGAGGATGGCCAGCCATGCCAGAAAGATTGGGAGTGGAGAGGGGAATAAGGGCTGAGACAAAGCCATCAGATCGGGCAGTTAAGAGACCTTTGGGGACCTGTTAGAGGGGAGTTTCAGCAGGGTGGCGAAGGGGTTGGGAACTGTGTGATGGTAAGGAAGCAGAGGCAACAAGTTTAGATGACACTTTCTGGGTGTTAACAATGGAGAGGGAGAAGTATGGGATGATACCGTGAGCCTGTATTTCATGTGCTGGCATCACATTTTAACTTGATGTCAGAAATTGTAGCATACTTTATCATCACCTTAGCTATGACCCTAATTATACAATGACTACAGCTACTGACAACTAAGTGACACCTTTGGAATAAAAATGTTTGTTCTCCATTAGAAAAGGTGTTAAAATGAAATAGTTTTTCATTATTTTATAAGGTTTGTAGTCAGAAACACACAGATTTTGAAAGGACTTCTTTCAGATCATGACTGTGATGTGGTCTGAATTTGTTATGTGTGCAATGGAAACCCCATTTGTGGGGTTTAGGTAGATGATGAACCTTTCTGCCAATTCTGATTGACGCTTTGTTAATCTTATAAGTGTGTAAATTGTGGCAATGGAGTTCTTTTCCTTATTTCTTTTCAGGGCAGAAATTCATCCCATCTCCAGTCTTGGACGGTCCAGCCCTCTTTTGAAGTGATTCCAGCTCAGCCACAGCTAGTATTCCTTCATCCATCTGTGCCACCTCCTGTTAGTCCGTACCCTGCTGGCGAAAAGAAAAATGACTCCAGAAACTACTTGCCTATTCTAAACTCTTACACCAAAATAGCTCCACATCCAGGCAAGAGGAGCCTTGCCCTCAACCCAGAGGAAGGAGGAGAAACTGGTATGCAGAAACGAGTCTGTACAGAGAGACACAGGACAAGTTTGTCTTCCATTGGGCTAACCAAGACTAATATTTTGGCGTCTAATCCTTCTACCCCAGTGCCACCCAACACAAAACTTGCTCAGGACTCAGTTCAGCAGAGTTTGTCATCTTTGGCAGCAAGTAGAAGTCTGCAGACTGTTCCTGGTAGTCCAGCAGTGTCTAGTAGCCGTGTGGCTAAAGCTCCAAATTTGACCTTTGCTTCCCCTGCTAGCCCCCGCCCCCTTGGCTCATCTGATAGCACTTTGCATGGGTTGGAGAGTCCCATGCCGCTTTCGGCATTATCAGCTCCTTATGGCCCACCTGGAGCAGGAGAGCAGCCCTGCCACCCTCCAGAAACCTTCCCTGAGCAGCGGCAGAGCAAGCACAGGCGCTTTCGGAATACCCTGGTGATCTTGCACAGGTCTGGGTTGTTGGAGATCACTTTGAAAACCAAGGAGTTGATTCGTCAGAACCAGGCAACTCAGGTTGAACTGGATCGGCTGAAAGAGCAAACCCAGCTCTTGATGGAGGCCACAAAGGGCGATGCTCCTCAGGCTTGGGCCAAATTACAAGCATCTTTAACATCTGTGTCCAGTCCACCTGGAAGTCACTTTGAGGCGATATCTGCTTATGCAAACATATAGCATAGGAGGCATATTTTGCCATCATTTGAGTGATTCTAGTGCTTCTAACTGATATTTGCTTCTGTGTCCCAAAGCTTCTAGAGAAGCTTTCTTTTTGTTTTAAAGTTGAAGAATGTGCTCACAAGGCTCACTTGTGAGAGCACCTGCCATTAACTGGCTCTTGTTGCTACCCTGTGCACCATGCCGGTATTATGTCATACTTCAACAGGAGCCTCAGGTTGGAGCTGTCCCTGGACCCTGCATGAATCAGGTGGTAGGAATAAAAGACACATGCTATGGGGACAGAAGAGATTATTTCTCTGAGCTCTGCTAGCAATTGCCCTTTCATTAAAGAGGCTTACAGGTGCAT